ATTTCACACTAATTTTGGGTGGTTCTGTAAAACACTGTATTGTATCGCCTCGATTTGTGCCTTTCACCTGTCGTTCTCCCTATTCGCGATACGTAATCCCAAATTTGGTTAGAGAATAACAAATTTGATAGATTACGGACCACCCAACTGCACCGTTGATCCGTGTTCCAATAGATCTCCTATCACACGGAGAGAAACGCGAAATCTTCCACGGAACTCCTAGATGCTATCTCCCGAAGCTAGAACTCCTATGAGCCAAGCTTCACACAAGATCTTCCGTCCACCAAAAAACCCCGTAGATCTGAAATTCTGGCTGTCGATACCACTTGTTGCGCGCCAGCGGAAATTTCGGGCTAGCGTTCGGGCGAGCAACTAAAGGTCAGATCGCAATAAGAATTGCCCGTCTCACAACTGGAGGCCGGGGGGGGGGGTGGGGGCGGGGGGGGTGACAAGAATCTCGAAGCGGAATACTCAAACCGAGAGTGGATATCGGCTCTTCCTCTACTTCAAGTTCTGTGAGGAGCTGACGGCTGTCGAGGACCCTAACCTATTACAAATCACCCAAAGCCGAAGTACAGGACCAATTTTTACGTGGTTCGGTCAATTGCCTACTCCAGGCGGGGAGGCAAGGAGGGGGGGAAGAATACTAGATAGAGGGAGAGATTACAATAGGCGTTTACATCACTCAACAATCTAAACCCTCAAACAAACTCTCAAATTCCTCACAATAGACTCTCTAACAAAAGTACAAAAGCACTGCACATAACTCCTCTTGCTGCTGCGCGTTTTCACCCAAGGCCCCGTGCCTGCTTTGTCAACCTTTCTTGTTTTGCATGAAGCCGGCAGCCGCAAGAGATTGCTCCTGCACTTGCTTTTTGTTCTCCCGCACTGCCAGTCCTCATGCCTGAAGCCGACATGCGAGAAAAAAAGGACAGAGGACTCCTTTTTTCTTTTTCTTTTGCAGTTTGCTTCTGCCCTGATCGCTTGCTCACCTGTATGCGGCCAAGAAAATCCAAAGCTCCTTGCTACTCTATGCCCTAGAGAACAGAATAGATATATAGTTAGGCTTGTATAGGCTATTGGGTGGGCCTTTCACCTGTTGTCCGTCTGCGACAAAAACCAACCAAGGCCTTTCACGTTGTCCGCTGAACTAATCACATGGTCCCCACCTTCACGTGTTCACAGTATACTCGTACAAAAATGCTTATTTTTTTGTATTTTTTTATTTGAAGTTTTAAATATATAATAGATAACTATTATTCTAATGAACGTAGCGTACTCCTGCGTGCTGGATCCTCTGCAATTCTATGTTCTTCATGAAAGCATGACAGTCCCTATTTGTTGTGCGGATCCTCTGCGATTCTCTTTCTCCTTGAGCTTCGGGTAGTCTCTCTTCCAATGTCCCTGCTCCTTGCAGAATGCACATTGGTTCTTTGCTAATTGGTGGCGGCCTCTAGACTTTGACCTCCCTCTGTTACCACCTTTCGGATATGGGCTTCTGCCTCTCGTCGACAATGCCTCGCCTGAAGTGCTAGCACGGGAAGTCTCCTTGTCCTTCCTCCTCAAATCGTAATTTATCAAAGCGTTAGTCGCTTCACTATAGCTGATAGAAGATCTCCCGTTCAATAAAGTGAGCACGAAGGTATCATACTCCTCATCCGGTAAGGAGCCCAACAAAATAATCGCCTTGTACTCATCCGATATCTTCTCATCAATATTCGCCAAGTCGGACAACAACTTCGTATAGTTGTTCACATGAGCCGCTAGCGAGGTGCCTCTGGACATCTGAAATCTGAAGAGTCTTCGCAGCAAGTGCAACTTGTTCTCAACACTCTTTGTGAGATACTTGTTGTTGAGAATTTCCCACATCTTCATTGCAAACGTCACCCCAATCACATCATATTTTAGCTCCTGTTCCAAACAGGACCTGATCACCCCACAAGCGTTCCTATTCATTTTCTCACATATCGTCTCATCATATTTAGGTGGCCTCTCGTGGACCATGATGGTCTCTTCCAAATTCTGAGCATTGAGCGCATCCTGTACGTCGCTCATCCACAAACCAAAGTTGATTTTTCCGTCATATTTCACCACACTAATTTTGGTGTTCTGAAAACCAACTTGTATTGTACTCGCCATCGATTTGCTGCTTTCACCTTCTTCTCCCATTGCATACTAACTCCAAATTATAGAGAAAGAACAAATTTGATAGAAATTTGGAACCACCCAACTGAACCCTAGATCGGATTCCAAATAGATCTCCTATCCACACGAGGAAAGCGAAATCTCCAACGGCAACTCCTAATGCTATCTCCACCGAAGCCTAGAACTCCAAGAACCAAGCTTCACACAAGAATCTTCCTCCACCAAAAAACCCTAGATCTGAAATCTGGGCTCTGATACCACTTGTTGCGCGCAGCGGAAATTTCGGCAGCACTTCGGCAGCACAACAAGAGAGTCAGGTCGCAATAAGAATTCTTGTTTCTCAAAGGGAACAAGAATCTGAAGCCTAATATCCCATCAAAGTGGGATATTTGCTCTTCCCCTCGTCAGCTCTAGGACTGCGCGTCGAGGAAACCTAAAAAGCTATTACAAATCACCCAAATAGCAGTACAACCAATTTTTACGTGATTCGGCAAATTGCCTACGTCCACGGGGCAAGGAGGGGGAGAGATCTACTAATAGAGGCAGAGAATACAACTAGGGTTTACAACCACTCAATCTAAACCCTCACACAAACTCTCAAATCCCTCATACAAATAAACTCTCACAAAGGATGCACAAAACCCTAAAAGGAACTGCTCAAAATCTCTCTCAAAAGCCGCTGATTTTTCTTCACCAAATACAGCCGCACAAACTCCAAATCTCCTGCTGCGAATTTTCTTTCTGCCGCAGCCGCTAAACACCTCCTCGCACAGAACCATAGGAACAAGTTCTGTTCCTATTTATAGCCTGACAACGAGCAGAGAAAGCGGGTGGGCCGACTTGAGTTCGAAAAATAAAAAACAACTTTGAACCAACTACATCGTGCTGCCTCCCACGCGTAAATCACTCAACGTGGAAACGAGTGCGTTCACAAATAATGTGGGCCCCCAATCACGTGTTCACAATAATATGTTAACTAAATATTCGTGATACCTATATTAGCCATGAGTATTTTATTTTCAAGAGTCTAGGGGTCTAAGTGGTCAGTGGGGCAAATAATATGGGAGAAATTTGATGTACGGGGTTAATGCTAAACTAGCATATTGACACATGTAAGTAACATTAAATTTTTATCTAAACAATTCTTCGCCCCACATGTCAATTATATTATGATGATTTAATATGTATTTACAAGCTCAAAATAACAAAATAAGTATAAAATGAATGTGATAATATCACCTCAATGAAGAAATCAATTTTCGACCAAAACAATCATATTGTATTACACAAGTACACCAAGAGGAGTGTAAGTTCAGAGACGTGGTCGGTTCCAAGAGAAGTGGGGTCGGTGGTAAAGCCTAGAGAGAGGTGGTAATTCCGAACACTTGAGGAATGTGACACGTGAGGTGGTATTTGTGTAGTTACTAGTGTGAGTTGTAAACGTTTATCGGTGAGCGTAGAAAACCGAATTGTGAGGTGTAAACCTTTTTTGGTGAACATCGAAAACCCATTATGATAGTGGAATTCTCTCCGGGAGTGGGGAGTGGAGACGTAGGTCGTAAGGACCGAACTCCGTGATCATATTGTGTGTTTGAGTTTGCCTTGGGGTTTCATTTGTGCTCATTATTTATTTTTCCATTACTCATGTTTATTTCGCCCTTAGATTAATATCCTTGCATATAATCTTCTTGAATATTATTTTTGCTAGGATAATTAGTTAATAAGTTTTTAATTGATATTAAATCGGATTAGATTAACATATGCCCTATTCACCCCTCCTCTATGGTACTTTCAATTCCGACTAATATACCTGTGTGATTATAAAACATCAACAAATACTATATAGTTTTTCTACATAAAATCATATAGATGGGAATGCAAATGCGTTCCAATGTACATTTTAAAGTTGGTAATTGTACTGTTACATTATGATTGCACTAATATTTTGACAAATTTCATTAATATCTATTTATTACACTAATATTTTTCTACTGATTGCATAAAGTTGATAGTAACGCACGTGTCTTATTCTCCTTTCTTTCTTTATTGGTTTCTATAGAGTGCTCTTTATATTACACTTTTAAGTGCTCTGATGCCCATGCATGTGACTCAACAAAGTGTACTACTCTATGATTTTCATCTTTTATCCGTTGAAGGCGAAAGAAAAGGTACGTGACAAGAAAAGCGACCCCACTGCCCTCATTATAGGTTGGCCATTTCCCCATAATAGATTATTGTTGACGGCAGATTCCTATTCGCCGTGTGAGCCAGTGACGTGACAAGATACCAGCATCCTTTACAGAGAGACAAAACCCATCGGATGCTAAAAGCGCAGCGTCTTTAGTTTAGCCCACCGCACCCTCCAATATTGCTCCAACTGTCAATGGAATCACAAAACCAATCAAAACCATCTCCGTTCCTACTCCTCCTCTCCTCCGTCATCCTGAACCTTTACCTCTCCTACAACCTCTTCGTCTCCCGAAAGCCCGGGCTCGAGCCTGGGTGGGCCCTAGACGCCGCTGCTGAGGCCCAG